AGCAATGCCTCATAATGTAGCTAGGTATTTAAAGTGTTGAATCTTGAATTAGTACAAAGAAAGCCTCGTAGGTGTCATGGAGCACATTAGCGTTCATGTGGACTGATAATTACCCTACAGAACCTGATAATGAATCTGTTTGTTGCAAAACTAGTCCAGCAACTGATTAAATAAACCTAATCTATATTTTATTGCTAATTGGCTTTTCTTCTTTGCATGATGATGGAAAAAATTGAGCATAGAAATGGACCAAACTTTCACAAAGTATGATAGGAAGAGACTGAAGGGGAAAGAGGGAGGAGAAATTCTCTTTCCAACGTTATGAGATATTCATGAGGTTGTATTTTTTTAACTCCATTTGATGACTTGTACATCCTGATAATAAACACTACTTTGTTGAAGTCTTCCTGAAACAACGGGGGGGCGGGGGGAGAAATTACTTACCAGATTTGATCAGACACAGAAACACTAAGGCAAATACAAAACTATGTAACAACAACGAAAAAAACCCCAACCAACAAACAACATGGGTTTTCTTGGAAACTGACATTTAGCTAACAGTAAATTCATTCCCAGAGAGAAAATAGGATGGTGACAATTAGGAAACACACAGAGAATTATGTGGACAAATTAGCAAACAAGGGAGGTTCATACATGCATCCTTTGATCTAGCAAAGACACTACTTTTCCTTTTACTATAAGGCAAGAAATGGAACTTGAATTTTCAAAGGTTTATGCAAGCTTATTGTAAGACACCACTGAAGCTGTACTTTGCATTCCCCTAAAGGAAATAAAGTCAAAGGATTTGCACATGTATTATGAGACAGAACTTCAAACAACGACTCTGAATGCTGTCTTGTAGTAGGCTTTGGTGTCTTTTTTTGGAAGATTATTTTTGCAATGATTATTAGAGGACTCAAAACTCATAGATTTCTTTCTTTTCCCTCCTGGTCTGGGAACTTGGAATGCAGCTTCCTGCATCCCTGTCAGGGGCACTGAATCGCACTCAACAGGTAGCACTTCACAAGCAAATTACTGCCCAGGGAAGTAACACATACTCTAAGTTGTGGATTACAGGCTGTTAATTTAGCTTTGGCTGGGCTTCAGCAGTGGCAAGGCAAGTACACTTACCATTCACCTACCACAGGATTAAAGATTCAGAGGAGCTACTACGCTATAAAAACATCCAAAGTTTGTTCCATGAGTTTCTGCCTCCTCTACAAACTCGCAAGAGCATCTCACAAGCATTTAGTATCAGAGACACTGATGTTTATAGGACCTTAGCTATGATCCTAGACCTCATAAGGCCCTCGTAGCAATTAACTACAGTAGCTCATCGGTGGCACTGCAAAAGTGACCCTCACAAAACCAGGCAACCACCGAAGAACAACGTTGCATCTTACGGCAAAGCTTGGCCGGTGACAGGTAGCACCCGGCTGACCGAGAGGGCACTACCACAACATCTTGTTCTACGTGCACCCCCAGAGATACAGATAACTTGGGCTCTGCTTGGAAGATCTGCAGCTTTGGGGGATTTTACACTGCCTGCCCAAACGGCAAAAATGCAAACCAGGTTTTTACAAGTGTATAAACTATAATTATACAGCACTCTGCCCAGATTTAGTAATACTATTAATACTGCCATGAGTCAGACCAACTCTCAGTATGCATACCGTAAACCTTGATATTGTTCTTCCAAAAAATTAATTGCTTCTCAAGTAACAAAGAGATCCATTAATTTCTCTGGCCTCTTCCACTTCTGCCCAGCAAAGACCATAAACAAAGCACACACTGTATGGATTCTTCACTGCCAGTGCATCCAACTGCTTTAGAGCATCTAAGGGAAAGAAGCTTGGAAAGGAAATACGATTTTTACCTCAGTAAATTCATGGATAGATGCCAACTAAAGATAATTGTGCAAGACTGAACAAAAATATTATTCTTATCAGTTACATTGCTTTACTTCAGGGGTCAGCTGAGTAGACGTCTTGCCCTGTAAAGTAGGATTTCTTTTTCAAGATACTGCTTCTGAATAATTCATACTTCAATTTTGTTCCAGATTCATTAATATTCCTTCTCATGTTCAGTGAAAAATTAAAAAAAATTATGTTAGACAAAAAATAGTCCTTTAGCCTATGAGGTGGTTAGCACTAAAAAAACCCCAGCAAACAGCATTCTGTTCTTTTTACTACACACATTGGAGGTTCAGCACCTACAGAGCAGTAAATTTTGATCTTTAAAAAAAAAAAAAAACCCTTAACAACTGGTGCAAGTAACTTCAGATAAATTGTTCTGAGGACTATCTTGGTTTTACTATCAGCTTCTAAATAACCTGACATCATAGTTAGTCTTACAGCATTACGGACTCAGCTAGCTCTTGTCTATGTGGTGCAACGCAACGGTTTCACGTCACGCAGAAATCTCCAAGCTATCTCTGAACGAGGTCCTCTGCCCAGGCTGCTTTGCCAGATCAGAGCATCGCCCGAGTCCACTGCCAGCCCCTGGCTAGTCCAGACAGCTCAGGCTTCTCTGCACTTTATCACACTGCTGTTTGCAGGACAAACGCAATACATGCGTTTAACTAGCTGAAACTTTTTAGGTACCATCTGTATGTTCTAAAGGAATTATCACCTAGAAGTCACGTAAATATTTGAGGTACCAAGGTAAACTTTGAGTTCAAACATCTTTCTTCCACCCTACTTTTATCAAAAACGCTACAGTGCTACAAATAGATAAACAGCAAATAGCTGGTAGTTTATCAACTGAACCAGCTTCTCATTTCATTGATCACGTTTCTCAAGGTGCAGTCTGACATGAAAAGGCCAGAAAGCAAACAAAAAAAGCTGACACCTGAACAGATTGTAGCTTCTGAAGTCAAATGAGTACATTTTGCAACTCAGCACCTTAAATCACTAGTCAGATTTTTTCCTAGCCTAGACATCCTCCTTGGCAGACACTACTTTGTCTTCCAGCACAGCATATCTGCCTGACCAAGGGCAGGAACGAAGACAGAGCTGGATTCCTTTCATCTATGACAGCTGCACCAGGAAAATTGTATGATGTGCATCATAGCTTAAGATAACCAGATAAAAAACAAGGTAATGACCAAACACTGGTTATTAATAATTTCTGACTCATCTGCCTCTGTACTGGGAACTCTATCAGATCTGTACAGATAAAATGGGGTGATACTTTGTCATCCTGCACAGTTCGGGTGCCATAGTAACCCCGATGAGGCCACATACTCAGCAGAAGAGTAACTTTCGGTTGCCCAGTTTCCTTAAAATCACACTAAGCCCAAATCAAATTAATGTAAAATTTAAAGTAAAAGCATTTATTCACCAAGTCCAAACCAGACAACACAGTCACAAAGGGTTACCAGATACCAAGGCGGGTTGGGGGAGAGGAGAGGAAGAGAGAGAGATGTGTAAATCTTTAACAAGGTTAAATCTGGAACATCTATCCCTTTCCCTTTCGCAACTGATTTGCTTCTGTTACAAGGTGAATATCAAGGCTCCAGTCTTGCTACAACTTACAAATGAGGTCGCAGTTGTTAGGAAGAGATTCTCTAGTAGAGAGAAATCATCTGCTTAGAAGGTGCACGGGCCCTGTAAGACCCAGTCTTCTCCCAGAAGTTTGCCAAGGCGTCCAGAAGGACTTATACCACCTCCCTGAAATTTGTTCTAGCCCTCCCTTATCCAGAAGGCACACTAACCATGCTAATCTTGATTACAATAAGCCCTGTCTCACCTCTTTCAGGTTGCACTAGTTATTAAACCACCACCTGTATTGTCAACCTCCACAGAGGCAACTGATGAACTGCTGTATATTAGACACAATTTCAGCTGGTCCTAAAATGGATAAAACAACTGAGAGACATTTTGAAACTCGCCAAGAGCATCGTCTGAATCAACCAAGCAGGGTGGCGGCAGTGCTTGGTGACCCAGTTCAAGCGTATTTGCAGCAGGATGCCCAAGGCCAGACAAAGCAGGACACCATAATACGTGGGATGGGAAAAGACTACGAGGCACAGGACAGCAAGACAAGGAAGGCAGAGAATTGCAGAAACCTCCACACTTACAGCCTGAACCTCCCCCGGCTCCTGGTCAGAGGAAGCAGGACAGAGAGTGCGTCCTGCAACGAACAATGGAAGTCAGGATCTTAATGTCAATACTGAAAGTTATCTTAATGTCAATGTTAATCGGGCAGAGTAACACCTAGTGATTCAATTTGTTCTTCCTTTTTGTGTTCTTCAATATATGAATCAAATCCTGTATCAGTATCAATTAAGAAATTCATACTTCTGTTCCACCCATGACAGAGATGCGTATCTCCATTATACCAAGTGGCAGCTCTCCTGTAAGGAAGGGGAATTGGCACTATCTTGCATCAAGAAAAGATAAAGCTCTCGCCTCCTCCTTTTGTGATTCACTGTGTACATTCCGCTGTGAAACGAGCCTTATACTGACCTTTATCCCTACCCTAACTGATGTATTAACCGACATACTTAGTACAAGCATCTACATGGGATAAACACACACTGCTCTTCGGTGCCTCTTGATCGAAACCCAGTAATAGCAACAGATCATCTTTTCAGGGAGCAGTAACTAATGCTTCCTCTTCCAGACATCTTTCTCCTAAGGTCTATAACAATCCTGAATGGAATATAACATGTGAAGTACCTTCTCAAAAGTGCTTCTTCAGGATATTTTGAGAGTGTAACATGAATAGATCAGGAAAAGCAAATCCACAATTTACCACATTTCAGTGAGACTCAGCCCTTGTAGCGAATGAGCAGTTTGCCATTGTGTCAAAGCTAGAATTGCACCATCTACTCCTATGCAGATCTTACCTTGGTTTTCTTCTATTTAGCTCATAAAATGTGGCACAAAGCATATGTGACTTTTCCAGTTACAGTTCTCAATTGTGTCCACAGAAAAAGAGAACAGTTGCTTGCAAAACAACCATATAAAACTTGCAAAAAAATCAGGAGGACTTACAGGATCAGTCAGTTCTGGTAAGCTTGCTTGGTAGGTGAGAGGTCTACAGTCACGAGTATTATTCACCAAGACACAAGGAAGAAACATTGGTCCCAAATCGTCCCCATCGAGCACGTCTACTGTCAGGGTGGTTGTACTTGTCCTTCGCTCATTAAGATTTTGGGCTCGGTCCTGTGAAGCAAACAAGTTACATTTGGTGAGACTTTCTGAATTCAGAATCTGCAAAAAAGTTTAAAGTTAAGGGCAAAACATGTAAGCACCATATCCAGGTTCTAGGAAATAGCCAATTACAGAAACTTCAGCCTCAAAAGCTCAGAAATACAATTAAGAGGTAAAAGTTTACCTCTTGAATTAAGAAATATCAGGAGACATATATTACTTATAAATAATACAGTTTAGAGAAATTAATTTTCAGGAAATGTATGAAACGAAGATACATGTCTCGTTAAATCTATGAAAATGCAGCATATTTGTATAAGATAAAAAGTCCCTCGTGCCTTACTTATAATCCGAAATTGCTGTGGTTTAACCCAGCAGGCAGCTAAACACCACACAGCCGTTCACTCACTTCCCCCCAGTGGGATGGGGGAGAGAATCAGAAAAAAAGGTAAAACTCATGGGTTGAGATAAAGACAGATTAATAGGACAGAAAAGGAAAGGAAAATAATAATGACAAAAGAATATACAAAACAAGTGATGCACAACGCAATTGCTCACCACCCGCTGACCGATGCCCAGTCAGTCCCTCCCGGCCAACTCCCCCCAGTCTTATTGTTCAGCATGACATCATATGGCCTGGAATATCCCTTGGGTCAGCTGTCCTGGCTGTGTCTCCTCCCAGCTGGTGGGGTGGGGGGAGAAGCAGAAAAGGCCTTGATGCTATGTAAGCACACAGTAACTAAAACATCAGGGTGTTACCAACCTTATTCTCATCCTAAATCCAAAACACAGCACTGTACCGGCTACTAAGAAGAAAATCAACTCTAACCCAACCAAAACCAGGACAACATCCACCCCTCATTCCATACCATCTACGTCATGCCCAGGTCGCACACTTTCCAATACATCTGAATTAAACACCACCACCTTTCCTGTCTTTTGATATATGCAACACACAGACATCATTCCCTCAGTCTACGGGCCATCTCTCTAAAATGTCCATTGTGTTCACTTAGTCCATGCCTTTGGGCTTCATCTGTTATAACAGTCCTTCAAGGCAAGAGAGATGGTGTGCGGTGCTGGATTGTTGCATGCTGAAGCCAGTTCTGGTTCCATCACCACTGCGCTCGTCCAGTTCTACCATCACTGCACTTTGCTTGGTTTCATCAAACTCATTCTTCATGTATCTGGATAATTCTTACTGTAATACTGTTGATATAGCATATAGCAACCATAGTAGTGATGACATACGGTATTATACAGCAATTAACATCATACAATTCAAATCATTGGCTATTCTCACCTAAAATCAAATCCACTTGAGGCACACATCGGACTTCCCCATTCCTGCATATTACCCACCAAGTGCACCCAGGTGCTTGAGCAAAAGCAATCCCATGGATGGGTTTGCCTTTGTCCGAGGCAGGAGTAACCCAGACTCTTTTCCCCAGCACGTTCTTTATGTGCACTACAGGAACTTTATCCCCACCTACGGTACGTAAAAGCTTTGATTGGCCAGGGCCAGCCCGACTAGCAGATCCTCTAGTGTAACTAACCAGCTGGTTTTTGCTAAATGCGTATCCCAATCTTTGAAGGTCCAAGCACCCGTTGCTCTCAGTGTAGTCTTTAACAGTCCATTGTATCGTTCTGTTTTCCCAGAGGCTGGTGCACGACAGGGGATTTGATATACCCTCTCAATGTCACACTCTTTGGCCCAGGTGTCTATGAGGTGGTTTCAGAAACGAGTCCCATTGCCTGACTCAATTCTTTCTGGAGTGCCATGCCACCACAAGACTTGCTTTTCAAGGTCCAGGATCATGTTCCGGGCAGTGGCGTGGGGACATGGGATACGTTTCCAGCTGTCCGGTGGTTGCTTCTGCTACTGTAAACACATGGCACTTGCCTTGGCGGGTTTGTGGGAGTGGGATATAGTCAATTTGCCAAGCCTCTCCATATTTATATTTCAGCTATCATCCTCCATGCCACAGAGACTTTAATCACCTGGCTTGCTTCATTGCAGTACAGGTTTTGAATTCATGGATAACCTGTGCCCGTGTCCATGGTCAAAGTCCACCACTCGATCACGAGCCCATCTGTATGCTGCATCTCTTCCTTGCTGGCCTGAGGTGTCATGGGCCCACCAAGCTATAAATTGCTTATGTTGCCAATCCAGATCCACCTGAGCCACTTCAGTCTTAGCAGCCTGATCCACCTGTTGGTTGTTTTGATGTTCCTCGGTGGCCCGACTCTTGGGTACATAAGCATTTACGTAACGTACTTTTACAACCAAATTCTCTAGCCGGGCAGCAACATCTTGCCACAACACGGCATCCCGGCTGGGTTTGTTCCCGTGCTGCCAGTTGCTCCGCTTCCATCGCTGCTGCCACCACCCCCACTGGGCATTCGCCACCATCCACGAGTCAGTATAAAGTACTGGCCACTTTTCTCGCTCAGCACTAAAGCCAGCTGCATGGCCTTCCCTTCTGCAAATTGGCTCAATTCACCTTCTCCTTCCACAGTTTCTGCTACTTGCCATATAGGGCTCCATACAGCCACCTTCCACCTTCAATACTTTCCTATAATATGACAGGACCCATCAGTGAACAGGGCATATTGCTTCTCATCGTCTGGTAGTTTCTTATACAGTGGGGCCTCTTTAGCATGCGTCATCTCCTCCTCTGGTGACATTCCAAAATTTAGGCCTTCTGGCCAGCCTGCGATCACTTTCAAGATTCCTCGGTGACTGGGGTTTCCTATTCAAGCTCATTGTGTGATCAGTGCAACCCACTGACTCCATGTAGCATCAGTTGCATGATGCATAGAGGGGACCCTCCCCTTGAGCATCCAGCCCAGCACCGGCAGATGGGGTCCCAGGAGGAGCTGTGCCTCAGTACCACTCACTTCCAAAGCAGCTCAAACCCCTTCATCATTAGTCACCAGTATTCTCTTTCCAGTTGGAGTATATACAGTGGGCCTCAGAGCCTCTGTATCCCCGATACCAAAACCTGAGGGGTCGATCGTGAGGCCTGCCCTGGTGCTTTCCATCAGAGGCTCCAGGTAGGGCCATGGTCCCCAGCTGCGGTGTAGAGCACATTTTTTATATCTTGCCCTGCCTGTACTGGCCCAAGGGCTACCGCATGAACTATGTGCTGTTCGGTTTGTTCAAAGGCTTGCCGTTGTTCAAGGCCCCATTTAAAATCATTCCTCTTGCGGGTCACTTGACAGAGAAGGTTTACAATCAGCCTGTAACTGGGAATATGCGTCCTCCAAAAACCCACAACACCTAAGACAGCTTGTGTTTCCTTTTTGCTAGTTGGTAGAGACATAGCTGTTATTTTGTCGATCACCTCCATTGGGATCCGACGATGTCCATCTTGCCATTTTATTCCTAAAAAACAGATCTCCTGTGCAGTTCCCTTGAGCGTACTTTGCTTTGTGGCAAAACCAGCTTTCAGAAGGATTTGGTCTATTTTCCTCCCTTTCTCAAAAACCTCTTCTGCTGTATTGCCCCACACAATGATATCATCAATGTACTGCAGGTGTTCCAGAGTTTCACCCTCTTCCACTGCAGTCTGGATCAGTCCGTGGCAAATGGTAGAGCTGTGTTTCCACCCCTGGGACAGTCAATTCCAAGCCTGCTGGACGCCCCTCCAAGTGAAAGCAAACTACAGCCTCACTCCACCGTCAGAGGGATTAAGAAAAATGCATTAGTGATATCAATTGTGGCGTACCGCTTCGCTGCCTTTGACTCCAGTTGGTGCTGAAGTTCTAGCATGTCCGCTACGGCAGCGCTCGGCAGTAGCATGACTTCATTCAGGCCACGATGACCTACTGCTAGTTTCTATTCTCCATGAGACTTTCACACTGGCCATATGAGGCTGTTAAAGGGTGAGCAAGTCCTGCTGATCACTCCTTAGCTCTCCAGTCGACACCAGGACAGAAACACACTCTTACGCTGCCTTGTGTACCTCTATCAAATCCCATCCGTAAGTAAAAGGACTTTCACTTACAGAAGTGGAAAGTATTAGCAGTAACTACTTCTTTTCTAATTGGCAGTGGAGAGGCCCTGGACTGCAATGCTCAGTCCACCTCTGCATGTCACAATTTCAGAAAGATTTAGCACCCCGCCCTCAAAAAAAAAAAAAATGAGCCAGAGGACAGTAATGAGATTGATACAAGTCCTCCAAACTGTATTCCATGTGGAAAGCTGATTTGTCTAGAGAATGAGTTATGCTGCTGACGTTTTAAAAGCCTGAAGAACACTCTGTCCACAATAAAGCAGCTACAATGCTGCATCCCAAAAAAGTCTCCATGCTGCATGACAGGTTCTTTTCGATGCATCATGGTTTGGCTTTTTTTGTTCCCCTAAAAATCCTTGGCTACACAAGATACCTTGCAGTTTCTTGATTGTCTTTTTTTTTTTCTTTCCAGATGCTACACAATAAAGCTACACTTTCCCAAATTATGGGAACCACCCAGATTATTTTTACACACTGAACAATGTACACACTAGCCACAGTTCACCTTTTGTTTCTTCTTTTGTTATCCTAGTGAAGAAACAGCATGACTATCCAATATTTTTTTAAAAAACAGTCAAAAAGGTTTCTATTTTCACAGAGGAACTGTTTTGATAGCTTTTCTTTAACAAAAATAAAATCTTACAGAGGAAACACGGGCCATTAGCTAAGTCTTGCCCTCCTATCCTAGGATAACACTGACAGAAAAAAGCAATTTCTTTTTTTTTTTAAAATGTATTTATGCTCTTTAATATCATCATCTGTGTAAGAGGAATAGGTCGTTGCTCTAAAGCAGATTGGATACATATTTTTTCCTTAATTTTGCAGTCCACTCCATTCCTGGAACTGCTTTACATCTACAGTTCCTAAATATGGGAATTTCTGATTTCAGCTTCCTTCACGGTTAGTGATGAAAAACAATACCAGCTACAAGGAGCAGCCTTCATCGTCAACTAAACTTTTTCGCATTCCCCCAACATGTGCCTTTGAGTAATCCTGGATCAACGCAGATACAGAGTAATTAATTTCATGTAGTATCTTCAGGATGCAAGCACAATAAACAATCACTGCTAACGTATTCAGTGGAATAGAAGTATGACTGCATAGTACATACAATAGAATCAAACACAGCCTGCAATATTTTGTAAAAGGAAAAAAAAAAAAAGGATGCATAAGGGAAACTCTGAAAAAAGCTGGGCATCAGCATTTAAGCTTGGGCCGGCTCTTAAAATGAGCAGTAGACGCTCTCTGCCAATGCCCTCCCTCCCCCCAGGAGGGGAAAGGATGGGGAAAAGGGAGAGATGCTTACGGGTTGGAAATTAAGACTACTTTAATAATACAATAAAAATGGGAAATAGTATAATGATATTAATACTAATACTACTAACAGTGGAAATAAGTGGAAAAGTATACAAGACCAATACTGAGTTTCCCGATGACAGTCAGGGGATCGCAGGCCGCAGCCCCCAGAGGATGGGCCGCTACCGCAGCAGGGCGGGCACCCGGATGTCCCGGACCGGACTGAGCAGCCGACAGGAACCGGATTCAGGGATGCACGGATGGGGGTCGGAGGCAGGAGAGCGAGCAGGGTCCCACAGGGATGCCGGCCATGAGAGAAGAGAGCGAGACACTCGTGATCCCTTAGCTTTATACTGAGGATGACGTGGATGGGATGGAATACCTCGTTGGGCAGTTTTTGGTCACCTGTCCCGTCTGCACTCTTCTGCAGGTGCCATCCTTTGACGACTTTTTTACTTGCTTAACAAAAGAAGGCCAGCAGTGGCCTTGGTTCTCATGGGGATAAGTATAAACATGGGCCTTTCTGCATACCAATCCCACCAATACTTCAGTAGCAACTATAAACATCGACCATTATCAAGCATGAAAAGCAGACACTGGATGAAAAACATGTAGCTGCACTTTAAGAAAGTGCAGTTACTTAGAAGAAACTTAACTGCAAGAAAAACTCCTGAAAAGAGAAAAAAAAGTCCTGTTTTGGCCAAACCAGGGCTATAGGGCTTAACTAGAGCCTTTCTTTGAGATCTAGTTTCTCATCTGGGAGCACTCAAAACTTTAGCAAGCTCAGATCCTTTTTGGGTATGTTTGAAAAATAACACACGGCCTCACAAGACATTTCAATCATGCAAGGTGCCCCATTACGTATAAACGTGATACAGAAGCTATCAGCACAGCTCTAGTCCCCAACCGAGTACCACAAAGGTGACAATTTACTGCGTAAGGATGTACATTGAAAGGAACGAACCAATTAACAGGAGATTGCTTTGTAGTATTGCCACCATGCATCCCCAGCTGCTTCTTCACCAGTTTCTCCTGCAGCTTGATAGGTTTCCCTCCTCACACGACGTGTTCACCCTGTCACCTGCCATGCCTTTCTCTTCAAAAACATGACCTGCTCAACTACTCCGGTTAGTTTTCTAGGAGGCCAGTGGCTCATGAAACTCCCAGCTCTGACATCAAAGGAAAAGAGCTGTGAATATGCAGTGCTGATCTGCGGAATGAGTTATTGATAGAACAACAAGGCAAATCAGTTCTGAGCCTTCCTGTATACCTGGTTCAAGAGATCAGCAAGTTACATTACCTAAGTAAAACAACTTCTAACAGCCACGAAGCATCTTCAGATATTTCTGAACACAAAAAAGCATCGAGACATCCCCGGAGCCTATCTTCTGTTTGGGGAATGCTAAATATGCCACAAAATGCATAGGAAAGTGGATTGTAAAATGTACCTACAAGTTTGTATCAGAACGATGACACAGTAATACAAAAGCGTGAATTTAAGAGCAACCTATCTAAAGTTGCTTCAGAGCACTCTCATTTGCCCCATAAATGAAGCGGTATCACAACAGAGGTAAACAACAGAGGAAAAGTTTTCATTTCAGCTATTATCAGAAGGACAAAAAGGGAAAAAAAAGCTTTCACAGCCCTCAAGGGCACCAAAAAAACTTCTCTGATGACAGATATATTAGCCATAGTTTAAACATCACTTTTCTTCTCAGTATGCATTATCCACTGCCAGCTACTCTGTAAAAACCTCTACATATGCTTGCAATGTGACTTGAAAGAAAAATCACCTCTTTATAGAAAAATACATTTCAAACCTGAAGGATACAACTAAATTGCATCCATTAAACTCATTTGAGATCAAATTAGCATCGCTAGATTTGTTAGAAAATGAACACTTAGTGACACTAGAATGCACTTTTCTGCATGGGTTGTACTTCAAATTTGCAACTTGTTCTTTGTGCCAAAAAGGTTGTCTCGTTACACACACTGAGCAGGCTTTTTTAACCAGTAATAATATGTCTAAGCTTTCAACAACCTAGATAAATCTTAAATAAGATCTTCAGGAGAGGAGTATTATCAGATCTGGTATTTCAGCAAGACTTTTCCTTTCCTTGGAAAAATCTAAATCAGCAAACTAAAACCCCACCTAAATCAGTGGCATAAATGACCATTAAGAGAGCTCTACTTACATTTGCTTGAACAATGACAAAATAACGAGTCTTTTCTTCATAATTTAGTCTCTCCCGTAGAACTACTGCTCCAGACAAAGTGAGAGGAATATCAAAGGTCCTGTTGGAAGTCTGCAAAAGTTAAAACAGTACAATAAAATTGAACACGCTTCAATGTTAAAACACGTGTCAGATAGACCACGACAAGACGATCGATTGGATGGCATGCCAAAATTGCACGTTTTCCAGAGCTGAGATTTTAAAGTTTTCTATGTTTTCTCCCCACCCAATTTACTCCATAAGAACACCACAATAAATAATCTGTACGTAACAGAATTCTCCGATTCTTTGCATATACATTGTTACTTCCAACCACAAACTGAAGTCTAACTATCCTGCTTCTTGCAGATATGCCACGCTGAATTTGCAGTGGTGTGTTCAAAAAAGCTTTCCCTGTTTTTCAGATGAGAGTTCAGGTCTTTGGTTTCTACAGTTTGGCTTGCTTTTGTCTATTTTTTCTCACTATTATAGAAAGTATCAAGTCTTAGAGATTAAGAAATCCACATCATTGTACTTATTTTCTCTTTATTCTGGCTTTCATGAGGGCAATGAAGCAGTAAACACATGGAGAACATCAACCCTACACACTTAGGTGCCAGTTCATAGTGGTAGTTATGCCCATGTTTATACACTAGTAAATTCAGATTTTGGGGTAAATCAGGTGAATTCAATTTGTCCTGCATATTTGCTTAAACAAATTCAGACTACAAAGCTGCGATACCACGTGGCAGGAGGGTACTGCTGGGGTACACACACCTTTAAAGGATTCACTTGGGCTAACGACCCATTGGGAGGACAATTACAGGCACAGACACAGGTTTCTGATGTGCGATCCAGTTCCAGTTCTATTATCAAATTCATCACGCCAAAAACATCTTTCCTTGCTTCAGTCTACCAACATAGAATATAGTTAACATTTAAGTATGTTAAGCAAGACAATATTCCAAAATCTCTCCACAGAAAACACTGCAGAGATACAGAGTACTATTCTTTGCTCAGATAACAGGGTCTTTTTCCTCTAAAAGTTGAAACATCTGCAAAAACTAAAGTTTGTTTTTCAGCAAATAAATTACAATGATTGTTAAATTCACCATGTTGCAGATATTTGTGTGTGGAGGAAAACAGGATTGGAAAGTACAGACTCTGCTAAATAACTGGAGACACTTTGCCTACGTCTGTGTTTGGCACTCATCTTTTTGGATAAAATAATACAATAGTTCCCACTGGAAAAAATATTTATACTGAGGCAAAGCAGGAAACTAGAACAGATTCTTAGTGTTGGAAGAAGGAAGAACCAAGTACAGTTGACTGCTTTTCTCCCCCTCTTTCTTTCTTTTAATGGTATTTGCACAAAGCAAGCAGGTTGTGAACTACGTGAACAAAAGGTAGTATCTTTGCTGTACAAGATGATACCACGTGCGTGCGCAACCCGACATATATGTGCCACTTGTAACTCACGAGGAAGATTCTCCCAACTGCTTTATCCCATGTGTCTCTGGTTTAAAAGGTCAGAACCAGTTGGAAAAGACTTGGCAGCTGAGGATCAGCCATGGCACTCTCAAAATAACAGCCTTTTCCTTAGTAGATCTTGAACTTAAGTGGAACTCTACAATCCAAACTGTTAGGAAGGATCAGCACAATTTCAGCAAAAAACTTTGACCTCTTCCCAAACTGCCTATATCTGGAGTCCCCTCTTGCTCCAACACAGCACAGAAATGGAATCATTCAGTGGTGATTTAAAGCTTAACTTCCAGACCTAAGTTTGTGCCGCAGCTCCTGAAGGTATCATATCAGATCAACTCTGTGATCCCCCTGCAAACTCCATTTATTTCTGCTGCAACTCAAACTGTAATGAAGCTCCAAGGCAACTAAAAGACGCGCACAACACCATCACGTCTCAGTTGCATTTCCATCCCACAGCAAAACGAGCCAGGTCATGCTGGAAGTCAGGAACATCAAGACATTGCTTCGTCAACTGCTTACTCGGAGAACAAAACCGGTTCTCCTCTCACTTCAAAACAGAGACAACAAAATGCTTCTGTACAGCAGTCTTCATAACTTAGAACATTTGTTGGCCCATAGTTTTGAATATGGGCCAGCAAATTTAAAATGGGGAAAGTCACCAGGATAACAAATCAATTTACTCCCCAGAGAGTTGGTATGTGAAAAATCAGTACAGCAAAAGCATGATGCATATTCCCTAACTCCAGATAAACTCGAAATGTTTAATTTTGAATCCTCACCAAACACTCAATGAATCTCAGTAAAATTAGCTAGTATGGAGGGAGTCTAGAACTTGTTTTGAGGATGCATTTGTCTTAATAACCTTCAGGTATAAATAGATCTAACAGTTCACTCTGCCTTGGGAGACAGAATCTTTCTGGCAAGTTAATGGACTTCATCCATACCTTTTAACGGCTAAGAAAAGTTTTACAGCTTTCCTTTACACGACAGCTAGAGCCCAGCCCTGTGTCAAGTATGTTTTGCGTTCATTTTTATACTTGGCTTTTATGTATCTTCCCAATTAAACAACAAAATAATTAAGGTAAATTGAATTTCTAGGATTACATCTCTTGTTTTTACAGTTTTGTTTTGTTTTTTTTTTTCAAATGCCTAAATTAGTCTCCAATGAAACTTATGAGCTATAATCAGTCTGCTTTTTCTCAGGCAAGACACTGTGTCATTGGTGTCAAACACCACTATGGGCATCTTCATCACACACCATAAGGGGATCCCTGAAGCAGAAAAGTAGAGATATTTCACGCTAAGCTGTACACATCATTTTTGAGCCTGGTACAATTGTTTCCCAGGTTAAGGAAGAAAATCCACTTGTAGCAGATATTACACAGTAACTTCCTGGCAAATTGACAGCTGAGATGAAGCAGCTTACGAAGATGAGAAGTCATTTCCGTCAAGCACACGCACAGAACGCATCACTAGCTAAAGCGGTGTTATGCACATAAACGCTATCTACAGATGAAAGAATCAGACTTATTTAATCTGGAATACAAAAGTAGCAAGGCAAAGATGCAATAAAGCAACTAACTACTCCCAAGAAGTTGTTCCAGCCAGGAAAATCCCTCACTGTTCTTCAGAGTCACAGGGAGAACAAGAACAAATAAGTTTTGCTAAGAGAGGAAATGAAAAGTTTTAGGAAATGTTCTTAAACTCTTCCTGTGGCAAAACACCAGACCAAACCACTTGGGCATGCTATAATGTCCTTCCATTAGCATTCAGATGAACCTCTCTGCTGAACTTGAGGCTAATGTGGTTGTGGGAGATGCTTCGAGTGATTTCACAGGATGCCTCTGAGCAATACAATGCTGTGATTTAATAGTAAATTAAGTACAAAGCAGCTCTTGTATTCCACTGTGGTGCAACATATTTTAACAGAAATAATATTTTAAGGAGGTTGGATTTTTTTGTTTTCAGTATACTAACAAAATTCAATGTAGGCTAAAATGTTTAATGTTTTTAAAAACATTTTCAATTTTCTAAATTATCTGGAAGAGGTAATTTCTGGAAGAGCTATTTTCTCAGTGCCAACATTTTTCATAGTTTTTATTGAAAGAAATTATTTGAGCTGGTTTTGTTCAGTACTATAAGTTAAGGGTAAAAAAAAAAGAGTGGAGAGAAAAAAATCAAAGCTTGGGTTTTGGGGTTTGTTTTGTGGGTTTTTTTGGTGGTGTTGGCTGTTGGTTTTGGGTTTTTTAATTATTATTTGAATTTGAAACTGCTTGTCCATTCCTTTCACTCCTTCCTGCCTCCTGTTTACTTCTCAAATATTTGTGGTAGCAGAATAGCATTTATTTGTAACATTTCTGTCACGCAAACAGTTGAAAGATGATGTTCGCAAAACATTTTAGTACTCACTATTTCCATAGAAAACCCTTGCCTTTGTTTATAAAGTTTAGGAGAGAAACTCTTCAGTCATACATACCCATCAGTACAAAGAACAGCTGAGAATGCAACGTGATGAACCCATCGCACACATCATGCGCTAGTAATTTTACTCATTTAAGTAGTCTCACTGAAGCGTCACAGCTCAAGAGACTGCTCAAATCTGCGCAATCAATTTAACCTCTAAGACATGACTGCAAACTTTTAAAGAATGAAATCATTCCAAATATACACAACATATAAAGTCAGAAAATTCCTTATCTCCCAAAAACCTAACATCACAACTCCACTTTTGCCAAAAAGACATTGCCTCTTTGCAAAACAGTGCTTCCCAGAAAAGACTGTGGCTTGAAGTGCTGCAAAGTTTTTCAAGAAACCATCTCTGTCCTCAGAATATGTAGATACAGTAAGTAAATATTATGTTATTTACATGTAAATATTATTTACATGTTATTTATATGTAAATAGTATGTAAATATTATTCCTTGATACTGTCACTATTCTACAAAATTCTACCTCCTGAAAAGCGTAAGCACCAAGTGTAACTCAATAGATATTTAAGCTCTTGTTGACTTCAGTGGAAATAGGACTGAAGCCTTTGTGAGGTGTACAGCTTAACTGATACAAATTGAATCAGAACTTGTGTGCCTACACTTCTAATTAAACTGAAAATCAGACTGCTGTTTTCGCACAAAACCATTACCTGCTCAAATTCCCCTTAAGTAAAAGTAGGGAATGTCAAGGAGAAGTTACTAAGTCTATATACTATATTTCCCACACACACACACTTTAACATCCGTGTATTCTTTGGGATGAATATACAATCAAGTTAGCCTGCTTAACAAATTATCACACTAGCTGATCCACACTAACCGTGCTCTTAGCCCATTGCAAAAGACGGCCTGGTTTGCAAAAAAGGATTGCTAAAGTTACTTCAAATTTGCTGAGAAAATGCATATGGACACCACACAAGCCACCCATGTGAAAACCTTGTTACAACAGAGAAATTCACGCATCTGACCCTGAAGAGAATTTCTTTTAATACTTTAAGTTTTTTCTGTCTAAAACTAAGTGTTTGCAGAGATAATAGGTAGGGACCACTAGTAGTTTATTTTAATAATATAAACCCCGCTTTTTAAAAATCTGTGATCTTTAAACAACTCCTTGAGAAAAGTTAGAATGTCTCTTTTGAGAGTAACTTAGCCACGCCTATGACTATTTCTTAGTTGTGAATCTATTAGGTATAAACGTGCAATAGATACAGCTACCTATTCACGGACTGAAAAGGCATGCCAAAACCAAGATTAATTATGTGAATGACACTAGAGAAGACAGGTGATTATTAATGATTGATACTGAAGGAATCCAGTTGCTAACAGCATGGCAAGGAAAGGGAAGGTAAATTCAGCTGTGTTTACAGGGTAAGGAAGGCTCAGAGGCAGAGAGGATATTCTACATCATGAAAAAAAGCATTTCTTTATGAAGTCCAACAGCATCATCTTGTTCATTTACTGCTTCAAGGTGTGTGTATGTGTGTACATATACACACACACACACACACACACACACCCCAAACAAAAAAAAAGGCTAAATTTACTTATTTACCTTGTCATTAGGATTGTACTGGATGACGTATTCTATCTGGCCATTTGGACCATCATCAATGTCAGTAGCACCATTGTTTCCAGAAAATCCTGTAAAGATGGTTGTTCCAACTGGAGTCAACTGCAAGAACAGAGACAAACAGATACCCAGTAAAACCTTAAGGTATACAAGAAACTACTAAAGAACTCTTTGCAAAGTCTCCTGCCTGCTCCCATCACTCTGGTCCACAACGCAAGGTTGACATTCTCTCTTCCCCTTAATTTGGCCTGGAACCTCGTATGTACAACCAACTCTCTAGTCACAAACTACTCAAGACTCCACTCTGATACCAAGTGTCACATAGAGAGTGAAACCAATTTCTATTTTCATTCCATAGGTTGTCTGCATCAGGACAGAACCCCACCTGTATTGTGATGAAGATGAAAAAGAAAAAGCCTTAAAACTGAAAGAAATAATGAAATAAATATAAATAGATTTTTTTAAAAAAGCTACTTTTTCAGACTCAGGAAGGAAAATAAAGATGAGCTGCAAAAGTAAACACGACTTATTTAACAGCTTCTTCATGACAATGTGAATAGCGCCAGATAAATACTATTGCATGCAAAATACAGACACCGACAGAGCTTTATGGTTTTAAACAAACACAAGAATGATGTTGTTTCTCCAATATTTTGTTGGCAGCAACTGAATACCCACAAAATTATATTTTGACAATGAATCAATTTATAATTATCCTAGCATAGATAAATAGCATGAAATCAAGACCCATTGAGATCAAGGACAGAAGTCCAACCGACTTCTTGGGAGTCATCATTTCTGAATTTTAATATTCAGAAAACTTTGTGAGTAATCAACCCGAAAGAGAAAGAACAAATGAACAAACAGTTCTGGATTCAACATAGCCATTGATTCTAGCCATGCTTCCTGCTGCTGCTCTCATCACGCCCAAGTTTTTGGCCCTTGAATTCAGAGACCCACTGATTCCTTGTCTCTCCTCCAAATTTTACATTACCTTGTTGCAAATCTTTAAACCTACAGGGTCTAAAAAGGTTTGAATTGTTGCAAAAAGGTGGTGGCAAAGGACGAAAAGTCATTCAAATATCTGTTGCAAATGTGGATGTTATTTCACTTTCATATTTTGTAGTTCACACCATAAAGCAAATAATTAACTGCCCGTTTCCTCCTATAGTCATAGCTCCTGGTTGCGTTTTATTCATAAAGCTGTTAATTACTTTAAGAGTTTAATGGCTGATAGAGTTCCCTGAGAAATATTTTCAGGACTGAAAATACCAGATCTTTGAAATAAAAACCACCAATTTAAAGCCTTTTTTTTATTATAAAAGAGGTAGGGCTTAATTTACAATACTTATTCACTTTATCTAACACTTGTGCCACAGTAACTATGCATGTTTGTGTTTTGCTACAAACTTGACTTGCTTACCATTGGTACAGGTAGCAGTGTCACGTGTGGGTGTAAGGAAGCTGACTGTCCCCTCGTGCCCACTAATTGTGAGATAATTACCTCGCAGAGAGTCTCTGCCTTGTACCTCTGGTACAGCAGCAGCCTTTTAAGAATTCAGGAGAACAATCACCTCAGAAACATGAGCCTCGCCTGACAGTATAAAATCTGAGTTAATTGTCATAAATCAAGGAAGGTAACTTACTGGTTAATGACAAAGTGCATGTGCAGGGGAAACGGGGCTTTCTCATGTTTTTGTAAGGGGACAGAAGACGAAAGCAACCTGAAAATCAATTTGGAAAATTTACAGGAGAGTTTGTAGGGGTTTTTTCCCCACTAATGGTGGGCTGCCCTTGGCCAGCCACCAAACCCCCACCCAGGTGTCCTCTCAGCCCTCTCCTCAACAGCACAGGGAAGGAAAATCAGATAAACACGATCGAGGGTCGAGACAGGGAGATCACTTACCCATTACTCTCACAGGCAGAGCAGCCTCGACTTGGGGAAAAATTAATTTAACATACTGTCAATTAAAAATACATTTGGATGGTGACAAACGAAGACAAAACAGCACCTTCCTCTATCCCACTCCTTTTCCCAAGCCTCAGCTTCCCTCCTGGCTCCTCTCCTCACAATTTTTTCCTCACTCCTCGCTGCCGCACGCCATTTTCTCCTTTCTTAAATCCGTTTCCCTGAGGAGCCATCGGCCTGGCTGAGGGGCTGGGCTGTGCCCTGCGCTGGGGCCCTCGGAACCGGCGGGAACCGGCGGGAACCGGCCCACAAGCCCCAGCCTCTCCTCACAGAGACCCTCAGCTCCTACCTGGGCACAGACATCCAGTACAACACTAAATGAAATAATTTAACCAGTTAATCATCGGTTAAACCATACAGTCTCATTAGTGGAAAGAGTCGGGCACTGTGCTGGCTTGTCAGGGGTTGGCACGTGACAGAAATCTCCCATGCTTCTGCTGTCAAAACAGAAAAAAGCCTCGGTGCTCCCAAAGCAGAGAGGAGCAGCTTTGAAGGCATCACGTGTGTAGTAGGCTGGAAAGCGGGGCAGGGAACACGCCGTCAAACCCCACACTCATTAACTACGCTGCTCCGTTAACCTGCCTACACGTTTCTCAGCACTGGCTGCAAAGGAGTGCTCCCTGCCCAACACCCGCAGGCGGCTGTAACACCGGCACGCTCTCAGGAGAGGGAGAAGTTACCACTGGAAATCAAACGACAGACCTCTATTTTAAAAAAATCCTGTCACATTGGAACAGCCCAAGAGCTGACAGACACCCAAGGAGGTGTTTTGTATCGCTCCCATTAGCCGGACGCTGTAACGCCATGTCCGGCAAAGGGAGATGGCAGAGCTCCAGCACGACATCCCAGAGGATGAGGCTGCCCTAACCAGGTACCTCCACGGCTGCCGAGAGGTTGAGGAAGGGCTGGACCCGAAAAAGTGCTCACAGCTGGAAGGTGCTAAGAGTTGTGTTGCTTTTCAGAAGCACGTAAATGCTTAGTTTCCATTGAATTCAGCCAGCAGCTCTGCTCGGCAATAGTTACTTGCTCTGTTTCATCAACGGCAGCTGTATCGGGGTGCAGATAAATGATGACTAACATAAAAAGGCTCCAGCACTGTAAAGCACATCATTAAGTGACAACAAAGGAGACAGTTGTAAAAATGAAATAGCAGTAAACACTAGAATTACAACTGCATACTCTTAAAAGCTGAAAGCTAAAGTCTTGATTTAGAGTATTACATACAAAATAACTGACTGCAGATGTGCCGACCTTCATGAACCCAATACGCAGGTTTCTATTTTATCTATGTTTTCCTTTATGCAATACAAATGATATTTGAAAGGACACTAAAAAAATATCCCCTGCCACTCCCTCATTTCACTCAACTTTCCGATCTGCCCAGGATCTCACGTTAGAGATTACTGCAGCCTTTGGAAAAATTCAGATGAGCTCTTAACTACATGTCTCAAACTCCACTTCTAACCATTGGAGAGAGGCACCCGGCATTCAAAGCTACACAGGATTTTTACACTGAGGTCTCAACATTGCGATGATTTACCGTTAGCCAGCAATATCACTTTTACCCACAATTTGTGAGGGCTCTCTGACAGGCTGAAAGACTGGGTTTGATCTCACACAGACATAAAACGGGCATGCCATTTGAATACGTGTGTGCGCGCAAGTAGAACAAACCAGCTAATCAGATGTTTGGCGCTGGCGAAAAGCAGAACGTCGAGATGATTTTGTATTATATACACTATATAATACACGTAATTTCTCAAACCAGTGATCAAATTCATCCTTTAGTAGATGCACACACTCTCCAGACAGTAAAGGCTTGCCTAGAGCTCAAAGCACCCCACCCCATTGCTATGTCAACCTGTAGCAGAGGGATTCTGCACAAGACCCATTTTTCCACAGTTTCCAACTCTATTCGTTCTCTGGAAAATCTTCCACCGCCAAGACCTCTGGGAGATGAGGGAGCTGGAAATATGTCTACGGAGGAGTTCCCGGCTCCTTTGTTTTGCTGCCTTTCAGAAGGACCCAAAAATGGCTCCAGAAATTGTTGCCTGAACTATCTCTACAGCCTGACTCATCTCCTTCCCATTAGACATGCCTACTTCAGAGGATACCTTGGAGCGGAATTTCATTTCTCTGTATTAAACTTTAGTATTTCCTACAGAAAGGGATTGAAGTTATGTAAGAAACTGTTTGACCACGCTGAGTGTCTTACGTTATGCAAGATAAAATGCTAAGAACTGCAAAGAAAAAATTGTATGAGTGTTAGTGACAGTCTGAGGATAATCATCTCTGTGGGAATTCAATGTGGTGAAAAAGAACCACGATGACAAGAAACAAGTAAGATTTCAAAAGAATGCAATTAAACAAATAGAGAGGAAATGCACACAATAAATCTTACTCTTCCACAGTCAATAGCTGCAATGCTTAAAAATTTCGTTCAACATGATTTATGTCTATTAGAAGGCTAGATGCAGACAGGAACATTCAACACTTCCATAAAACATTTTTAAAATAAATTTTCCTATTATTGCCTATTTACAAAGTTAAAAATGAATAATTTTTCACAGTGGCCCCAAACAGCAGAGCAAAGAAAGATTAACAGGTAATCATTCTGAGCTAATATTCTTTTGATGATGTCTACCTGCAGAGATTATTTCAATACCACAAGGAAAAAGATATGAATAATTACACTAGAAGAACCAAAAATTCAGCACAAGTTATAGTTCTCAACAGCTCAAAGACAAAGTTTTAAGATGACTGAAGTTCAAGAAACACACTCATTTTGCAAAGGATTCCCATCTCTGCCAACTTAAGGGGGCGAAAACAAACCCAAACTAAAAAACAACTCTAAAATTTTGGTTTACAAGCAGCTGTAAGTTCATGTATAATAAAGTAATATTGACTTCAAACACTATTTGAACAACTCTACTATCATTTCCAAACAAAACCTGTTATTAAATGCTCCTGAGCTTACCAACATCTCTGTAGGACACAGGTAAGGCTCATGTGAAAAACCAATACAAAAAAAGGCGGTCTTCTAAAACCCCAGCAATGCAGAATTAGAGTTCTATTTTGCCGAGATAATATTTGTGAAGGTAAGTTGTGTTTAACACAAAACATAGAAAACCAC